GGCTTTGAATGGTAGGGAAATGCCTACCTATGTAGGGCTTTTGGTGGGTGCATATTTTTACAGGGCTTTGAACAGTAAGGGAATGTTTACCCATGTAGGGCTTTTGGTGGTGCCTATGTTTACAGAGCTTTGAACGGTAAGAAAATGCCTACCCATGTAGGACTTTTGGTGGGTGCCTATCTTTACAGGGATTTGAATGGTAAGAAAGTGCCTACCTTATAGGGCTTTTGGTGGGTGCCTGTTTTTACAGGGTTTTGAATGGTAAGAAAGTGCCTACCCATGTAGGGCTTTTGGTGATTTCCTGTCTTTAGAGGGCTTTGAATTGTAAGAAAGTGCCTATCCATGTAGGGTTTTTGGTGGGTGCCTATCTTTACAAGGCTTTAAATGGTAAGAAAATGCCTACCCATGTAGGGCTTTTGGTATGTGCTTATTTTTACAGGGCTTTGAATGGTAAGAAAATGCCTACCTGTGTAAGAGTTTTGGTGGGTGCCTGTCTTTACAGGGCTTTGAACAGTAAGGGAATGCCTACCTATGCAAGGCTTTTTGGTGGATGCCTGTCTTTATAGGACTTTGAACGATAAGACAGTGCCTACGCATGTAGGACTTTTGGTGGGTGCCTGTCTTTATAGGGATTTAAAAAGGGGTGTGAGAATGGGTTTCATCTCATGTGGAAAATATGAGAAACTCACATGCGAGGTTTGTTATTTCTTCTCTTACTTCCTTAGGTTTTGTGGTTTTTGTTTTGCCCCTATCCAAATGGGACATACTTTCTATGGCAATGTATGTAATGGGGTGATGTGCAATGCATATATATATATATATATATATTTGCCCCAATATAAATGGAGGCAAATTTTTGTGTTGAGCATGTAATGGATGGATAATGCATAATGCATGATTTTTTTTATCAAAAGTTCAATTCTTTTTCTACCTCCAATTTAAATTGTGGCAATTTTGATGCAATGTATGCCATGGAAGACTAAATGATTTTCTTTTGATTTGCCCCCATCTAAATTGTGGCAATTTTTATGTGAAGTATGCAATGGGTGGATATGATGCAATATTGACTATTTTTTTAAAAAAAAATTCAACTCCTCATTTGCCCTAATCTAAATTAAGGCTTACTTTGATGTGAAAGATGTAATTTTTTTCAATTTATGTGAAGATGTGGAATGCTCAATGCATTTAAAACTGTAAAATGTATTTCTTTTTATTTGCAGGATTTTGATGCAAGAGGGAAACAAAACTTGAAATTAATGAAATGCCAAGGTCTTCTTGGTCATTTACAATAGAAAAGTTGTTGGTCTCCCTAATAAAATTACAAGTCAATGACTTAACAACTTTTTCCACAAGAATTGGGCATTAAGGGGTCACACTTTCAGATATTTAAAACTATTTATTCCACCCATATTGAAAATTTTCAAGACAATTTGTTTGCCTATATGAAATGCTTGTTAGACATGGATGTTTCATCTTATCTATCTCTATCATCAATGCTTATATAGCCAATAAGTGAAATTAGTACTGATTTTTATTTAACAATGTTAATGTAGACAATCATTGTAAACAAAAGGTGATATTTGAAAAGGAAATGGAGTGGCCAATCAATGAAATGTTGGGAATGTTTAGAGGCATCTCTATTTGGGTGCAGGAAATGTGTGAAGAACAGGCATCATGTGGATAAGATAAAGTGTGAAGTGGAAAATGATGGAATGGTAAAATTGAGGACTACTCAAAATTTATATGATGTATCTTTAGATAGTATAGAGATGAAAGGGAATGAATATGGAAATTAAAAGGAAGGTCCCTCTTTGTTTGGTATGTCCCTTTGAAAATAACACAATTTTTGAGTAAAAGATCTTATGTTGAGCTATAAGCTTGCTCCAATTTCAACATTTTGCATCTTGGAATGATCTCCAATAAGAAAAATGCTCCAATTATATTCGAGCAAGTCAAATCTCAATAAGAACTTATGGGGTTTGTAATGTGACTTGGGTAAATTGGCTTATAAAATAAAAGGATATTCAGTTCAAAAGTTATATGCCCCTATGTAAATTTTTCCTTCAACCTTTTTCTTCTTCTACTCTAACATAAAATTATGTTAAAATTCACCTAACAAGAGAGGATATTCAAGGATTGTGATGTAACAAAATAGGATAAAATTGCAGATTGAAAATAGAAAGGATGTGATGGTCTAAACATAGGTGCAAAATCACAATGGAATTTATTTTTTGGACATGTGATCTTGCAAGGCTTGGCATTTCTATAGAGTTATCATTGGAAAAGGAAGAAAAATTCTCTTCTATTTCTTCTTCTTCTTCTTCTTCTTTTTTCTTCCTTCCCTTTTTAATTTTCCTCTTCATGTCCCATTCAATGAGTGAATGCTAGTGGAGCGATAATCTCCTTTTTTTTCATCTACAGTAGTGCTTTTTTTTTCTTGTTTCTCTTTTTTTATTTATTCTTAGCTCTTGAGATTTTCTTTCATGAGCTTGGAAATAGAAAGAAATTATTTGAATGGATAAATCTGGAGGGTAAAAAAAAAAGCTTCAATTAGATGAAAGAAAGTCTTGATCCTCTCTTGAAATTTGAAAATTTAGTACAAACATATGTTTGAGTACCCTACCCCAATGATATTTGTAAACAGGTGAATGAAAGAAACACTACTCCAGGCTCAATGTGGGTGACTAAGGGGAACTCCTTCGAGATTTAAGAAAAAAGAAAAAAAATGCCTCATATCTTTGACTTAACTTGCTAATGGCACAAGCTATCTTATCTCTCTAATCAGTCTCTTTTTATCTTTAATTTCTTTTTCTCTTTTTTTTAATCAATTCATTCATTCTTTTTCTTTCCTTTTTTTTCATTTTTATATTTTCATGAAATAGGGGTATTTTCCTCAAGTTAATCTTTTCCATATCCAATGTGATTTTTTTCATTGAGAATACCAAACATTAAGTGAGTAATGCATAGGATAAGAGAAGTTTTATGGTCAAGGGGTAGAACAAGCAAATAGGGGTGTCAAATGGAGAAGTATGATTACGACATTGACAAAGTTAAACAAAATCATTTTCAATGATAGAGTTTGACCATACAAACATTACATAATGAAGATATGACACGTTAGAAACAATATCTTTGAATTCTCTCTTTAATGGTGAATGATTTTATTGACGAATGTGACATTTGGACTTGATTTCTTTATCTCCCCTCTTTATTTTTTTTTTAACCTCACAACTTGATTAGGAAAACTATGCGCCCCAAGTGAATGCTAGCATTCACACCTACTATATCATTTTTGATGGTCAAGGTAAGGGTATGAAAGTATATTGTGAAATGTTAATTTGCTTTAAATGGATGAAATAATGACAATAGGCAAGGAGTGAGAAAATGATTGGCATTGTGGCAAGTAAGGTGAGGGACCATGACCTTCCCATGTAAAGGACTTAAAAAAAAATTCAATATTTTAAAAATATCAAAGTCTTTTGATGCAAATGCATTTGTTTGCTATATATGGCCTTGCTCTAATGAATGATTATTGTGAAATTAAGTGGGGGGTCGAGATGGGAAGATGTAAAGTATAGTATTAATTTATTTATAACCTTGCGCTGGTGCAAGGGACAAATTGAGAGGAAAAAAAATTGAATATCACTTAGAGATGTGGGGTTCGTGATTGAATTAGGAGAATTTTGAATATCATTTTCGCTGCTTGTCTATAAACAAGGGTTAAATAAGTAAGTGTGCTTACTTATGCTTACTTGTGTCTTAAACCTTTATGCTAAGGAAAGCACAAGATGATTCGGCAATCCCTATAAAAGGGTTTGGATATCCAAAAAAAATATATTGTAATTTTTCACACTGTCTTAAGTAATTACAAGGCTACCTCATTTATGCCAAACAAAATTTCCTTTCCTCCATATGCTTATTGCATCATAGGGAAATAGAAAGAACTATTAACCTATAAGGGACCCAAATCCCTACATGATTAAAGTTATGAGAGTAATAGCCTTATGATTTGTTTTTATTTTTCTTTTTTAGGAAGAAAAAAAAATAAGGATAGTTGGTTTTCAGACATTCATGCACAAGAGTTAACTAATTTTTGTTAAATAAAGTTTAATTTGTCATTCGGGTAAATGAGAGGTTTCCAATCTCCTCCAAGTGCTTATTGCACTATAGGAAGAAATGATTAATAATTAGCCTATGAACAGTGAAAACTAATACATGGTTAATGTTTAACTTTCAAAATGAAACGTGTTATTTTACCCTACAACAAGAAAAGCTATTTAATAGGAGTTTGTTGACAAAATGCCTCAACTCTTCAATGTTATGAAATGAATTTATAGTCACTGGGGTCAAAGACCCATGGGCAAAGCTTAGTTGTTTAATGCTAGCACCATCTTTATAACACATTAACATTGATTAGTGTAATGACATTCAATACCCGCTCTAGCATAAGGTACCCAACAGCTGTTTTCCTTAAGGTAGCATGCACAAATGATATGTCATGGTGATGATAATGATGCAATAAAACATGCTCTCACTTTATGTCCTATTTAGGAAGCTTAAGTCTATTTATCTTTATAATCATCAGGTATGAGCTAAAATGGTTGGCTACTAACTCTCATCTAAAATGTGTAACTCTAAGGTAGATTTATAGTCCTGATAGATAGAAGGTTCCCAAGATGCCCTCACCACATGGTAAAGACCTTACTTAGTAAATTTGACCCTCTGAGAACATAAGCTCTTCAGGGACTGAATTTACTGAGTAAGTAACAGCTTGAGTGAGGTATTCACAGTAACCTCCGAGACTTCAAAAACTCTTCAAGGAAACCACTATTAACCTCCACTAACCTATGATATTCACAGACCCAGGTATAGGGCCCAAAATGTGTGTGTTAAATTGTGTGAGTGCACAATGTGTGATAAGAGCATGCAAGCATGTTATCTTATTTCCACATGCTATCCAACCCTCATCTGTTAATCAAATCAAACAAAGAGGCAATTATATGTACAAATAAAAATCTTCTATCCTAGGATTTATTCTACATGTTATCTATCCCAAGACATGTTATAAAAAATGGAGAGAAAAGAGGAAAAGAGAGTAAAAAGGCACACACAAATTAAAAGGGATAATAATAATAATAATAATATGTTATATTTGGATCACAACAAACTTATATAGGCTTGACTCTCTAACTTGTTCCCAGTAGAGTCGCCAACTGTCGCACTCAAAAAATGCTATGTGGACAGCGCGCTAGCGAGGGTTTCAACCTTCGTGGTAGGAAGTGAAGAAATAGGAGTTGCCACCAAAATTTTGAGGAAAATCTTGAGAAACTGTTTAAAGGAGGATAAGGGTAGTCTGCAAAAATAGAAAATAGGTTCAAGAGTCAATTGAGTGTAGGAAAGGTGTTTTGAACCCCACAACACCCGTTCGTAAGAACGGTTACTTGAAATTTGCTGTGCTATATAAATATAATTTTAAAATTATTTTAATTATTCCTTTTATATTCATGTGTTTGATATAAAAATGATAAGAATTAAGTGAGAAATATTTATTTATTTATTTACGAGGGAGGACTTGACTCAATATCTGACTCTAAGGCCTACGTACCCTGTGATGGGATAAAAGTCCACGTAGTTCGGGCTTATAAGTTTGTTAGTGAAAATATTTTTTTTTTTGAAGAGAAATTAACCAGAAATAATTCACCATTTTGCAAATAAAATAATTTTTTAAAATTTTGAGATGTGTGTTTTAAATTGAAAAAAGTGATTTAATTTCAATTATTTTCTCTATTTTTTAAATTTTTTGAATAAGAAAAAGGTAAAGGGTTTAAATTATTTTTTATTTTATGATTGAAAATTTAACTGCTATACCTGCAGAGCTTTATTGGTTCATACGGTAATACAATTATTCTATATATCTGCAGAGAATCCAAACTCTCACATGATAGAAGAGTTTAACAACTTAATTTATTTATTTAAATTTTAAATATTAATAATGTCATTATTTTTTTAGTACGTTCATACATATATAGTTTTTTTTAAAAGACTCTTAATCATCATACCTACAAAGCCTTATTAACTTTTACAGTTGTATGATTATCCTAAATATCTATGGAGATTCAAAATCCTCACACAATAAAGGATTAAGTATATATATATATTTAAATATATTTTAACGCGTAATTGTATAATTTATATTTTAAAACATAGAAATCTTAATCGCTATACCTACAAAGTCTTATTGACTTTTACGGTAAGATGATTATTCTAGAGGTCTATAGACATTCAAAAATATCATATGATCGAAAGATTTAATACATTAATTTAATTAATTAATTTTATTATTAAAAAACATTTATAATTTTATTTACAAAATTTATTTATTTATTTACCATATAAATTGAGAATCACAAAATCTATAAGAATTTATTATCTCACACGATAATGTACTTAACTTAAACCTCTATAAAGAGTCTTGAAATCTCACATGAGACATAAATATTTTATTATTTTAAATTAAAAGAAAGAATTAGTTTTAATGATGGGACTTTGAAACCCATATTATTATATGCAAAATTAATCCTCACACCTGCAAAATTTTATTAATTTTTATGATATGAAATTATCGTAAATATCTGCAGAGATTCAAAGTCTCCCACAATAAAAAAATTAAATAATATTCACTTTAAATATATTTTAATGCGTGACATTTTTTTAAATATAGAAATCTTAATCGTCATACCTACGAAGACTTATTAACTCACACGGTAGTACGATTGTCTTAAAGATCTATGGAGTTTTAAAAAATCTCACGTGATCAAAAGATCTAATTAGAAAATATAATTATAATTTAAATTTATTAATTTAGTTAAGTAGTATTATAAAAAATGTTTATTACTTTATTTACAAAAATTTGTTTATGTATTTACCATACAAATTGTAAATTACGATATCTGCGAGGATTTATTATCCTATATGATAAGGCAATTAATTTAATTCTCTATAAAGATTATTGAAATCTCACATAAGACTCAAATATTTATTATATTATATTATAAAAAGAGAATTAATTTTAATGGTGGGCCATTGGGATCCATTTTTAATATATATATATATATAAGTTGGATTTTCATACCTGCAAAATCTTATTAATTTACACGGTAGATAATCATTTTAAGTGCCTATGGAGATTTTAAATTTCTCTTGCGATATTGGTTATTTAAAAATATCCCTCTTTTATTGTCTATCATCCAAAAATTATTGTATTTCACTCTACAAATGAATTTTAAGAATGATAATTTAAAGTTTTATATATCAAATTGCACATATAGAGAAACATGGATATAAAAATTCAGCTCAAGAATGTCTCTGTACAGGAAGAGAAAAATTCATCAATTAAGCTATAGGTTGTAATGAACCAATAGAGGAAAAATAAAAGCCAGTATATTTGACCGTGTAAATGGGCTCCAAAAATCATGAAAATTCTAGGGATTAAACTAAACAAGAAAGGGAATATCTGTGCAAAATATCAAGTACCATGCAAATGCAGATATAGAAAAACAAATCAACAAAGTAGGCTGTATTTTAGTGATAAAATTAAAGTGAAGAATCTCAAGACAACACTTGATATTAACGCACATCAATTACATTTCCAAAGTTCTCATGTTCACATATGATCTTAAGGTGACACATGAAGAGCCATTCAATCTTGAATTTTCAGCAAACAAAAGGAAGGGAGAGCAATACAAGTTGGCTTACCAGGCATTATTAAGACATTGTGTTCAAGCATTGCACTGAGAGGAAACCACACCTTTAAGTTTTCCTATAGTAAACATGCCAGAGAATATCAGTTCCATGACTGCACCATTATCCCTGAATCTTGCTCCAAACTCTTCTCAATTCTCTCTCTTGTTCGTTCTCACATCCCATGCTCTGTTTTTCTGCATTTTCATTTCTCTCCCTCTGTGCTCCATTTTCTCATCCGTTCCCAGCTCTCTCCTTCCTCCAGTTTTCCTCTTCTTTTTTCTAGTTTTCTTCTCCCACTCTCAGTCTCTTTTTTTCTAGAAAACACTCCCTTTCGGACTCTCGGTCATCTCCTCTTTTCAGCCAAATTCTCCAGCCTTGTATAGAGAACAGAAGGGACGAATGATTTCTCACCTGCTCTGCTTCTTGGTTTTTCCTTCTCTTCCACTGCATTTTTTGCGTGTGTGCTGAAAGCTCTCCCGCCTCTGGCTTTGTCGTCTCTTCTCTGCCTCTGTGACTTTGGTTTTGTGTGTTCACTGTGCACGCTTGCTTCTTCATTTTTCTAGCATTCTGTGTTTGCTTCTCTCTCTCGTTCTCCACCTCTCTTTCTTTGTCTCTGTTTCTCTGCGTTTTCGGCGTCTATCTCTGTTTTTTTTATTGCGCGTGTGGCATCTGACTTCTTCAGTCTTGCGTGTGTGGCTGTGTGTTTTACTTCCCTTTCATTTTTTCTTTTCCTTCCCTTTATGCCTCTCCTCTCCAGTTTTTTCTGCCCTCTTTTCGTCTTTTGTTTGTCTCAATTCTCGCCTCTCTTCTCCATCTCTATTTCATGCTTCTGTTTTTCTGCCCTCTTTTCATCTTTTTTCTATCTCCATTCTTGCCTCTCTCCTCCATCTCTGTTTCATGCTTCTGATCTCAGTCTCCTCTCTCCTCCAGTCTCTATTTTTTCTTCTGCTATGACGTGCGTTTGCATGGTTGTGTTTGGCAGGTTCTTTTTTTTTTTTTCTAGCGTTCTATGCTCATGTGTTTGTTTTTTTTTTTTTTTCTACGCTCGGCCAAGGAGCTCCTTTCTTTTGGCTGTGCTGGAAGCAATCTTGGATGGGTGAGAATTTCACCCACCTCATTTCTATATTTTTTTTTGTTATAATGCCTTTTTTTGTGTTAATCAAATTAAGGGAAAGAGGGAAAATTTTAATTTTGATATATATATTTATTTTATTTTATTTTTATGAAAAACAATCAGATTTGAAAAGTTGACTTTTAAAAATTGATTCCCAATATTTTGAGTAGTTGGAGTGATTTGGGAGAGATTTTTAAAGATTTAAGCAAGATTATTTTTTTTAAAATTTTGTTAGATTATTATTTTTTAAAAAAAATATAATCTTTAGAAGCATTAAATTTTATTTTTATATTTTATTTTTTTTGTTATTTTTTAATGAACTAAAGGAAATAAGATCTTAAGCAACAAAAGATTATCTAGATTAAAATAAAATTAAACCTATTAATTAAAGATTTTTTTTGTTTGAAAATATAATCCTAAAAAGGATTAAAATTTATTTTTGTTGTTTTTATTTTTTTTGGTTATTGATTATTATTTTTATTAAATTTAAAAAAATGTCCAGATAAAATATAGTGTTCACAATATGTGTGTGTGTGTGTGTGTAAATTCTTTTAATTAGTCTTCTGTAGACTACATATATAAATAAGGAAGAAAATTAATTAGTAATTAACCCTCGAAGCAATTTAATTTTATAAAAACACTGCTGATAAATTAACATAACAAGTGAAGTTCTTGTTTCAATAAATATCTAATTTATCCAGATCTTTTATTGATATTCTTCTAATAACTACTTGAGAACTCGTCATCCACTCCACTGGGGTTTGAAATTAGAAGGAATTTGAATAAAAACCTCTTGACTAAACTTATTTAAATTCAAAACCTTTAAATTTTTAAAATTACATTGCAGTTGAGGGGCATTAATTTGATATTAAATTTTTTTAAAAATAATAAAATTACCTCTCACTTAAATTAATATTCAAACTTCTTTACTTGACTTGTTTATTGTCCTACTTCACTAGTTAATTTACTTATAAAATATTATTAATTATCCTATTTAACTATATAAAAAACCTTAAAAATATTTATTTTAACAAGTATCTAATTTATCTATGTCATTATCAGATATTAAATTCTTTATCTTTTATTGATATTGTCCCTGTAAATAATTGAGAACTTGTCATCCACTCCACTAGGGTTTGAAATTAACAAGGGGACTCAATCGTCAAGGGCTTTTAAAGTCAAAAGGAGTGGTTGAGGAAAAAAGATTAAACACTGAAATCTGCTGTCATGCACAGCCTCAGCGCCCTGAACCACGCGGAAAAAAGTTTAGGGATAGAAGCATCTAATTATATATCACATTGTTTAAAAACAAATATATAATAAAAGAAAATGTTTGATAAATTTGATCTTTTAAATTTTGAGTTAAAATTTGATATCCTTCCATTATTTATTCTCTCTTCATTTTTCGGCAGTCGCTTTCTTCTTAAAAACTTGCATTGTGCACGTGTCTGATAAATTATAAATTACTTAGTATGTGACAAAAAGTGTAATTCACGTACCAATACAAAATTGCCAATTTTTTCACATAACCTTCCATATATACACTCTCGACATGCCTGCATTCTATGAGAATTGCTAATTGCCATAATTATATTCAGGCAGGAGGCAACCAGTGTCTAGTGCAGTGTGATTATCGTGGAGCTGTGAAAAAATAAATAAAAATGAAAGATGAAGAGAATGTATCATAGATATTAGTTAATGAATTTCAATAAAATTTGATTAATAATAAATATAATAACCTAGCTCTCCTAATTTTTATCTTTCTTATTGCAAAATTAAAAAGAAAAAAAAACTATGCGAGTACTAAAAGATGAAAGGACATGATAATTAATTTAAAAGGTGAAATAGCATGTAATTCTAATCAACCCATGTTGACTCTCTGTTTTTTTTTTTTTCTTTTTGACCAACCATGTTGACTCTATGTCGAGAATTTGAAAATTTTTGTGGATTTTCTATGAAAATGAGCAACACACCCACCGTGACCCGCACGTAAAATTAAAACATGAGAATTAATTAATTGCAACGTAACGTACAACTTATCAGGAAAACAGAAAGCACAAATAAAGTGAGTTGTTGTTGGATATTTATAACATTTAATGGTATTGCCAAAAATATTATTATTTGAATAATAATATTAATAATTATTTAAATATATTTATTTCTTATTTTATTTTTTTCTTTAATTTTATAAAGTATATTTTTAATCCTATAACCATAAAACTATTAATTTTATCAACAATAAATTCCCACATTGAACTTTTTAATATTGATAATCCATTATCAAATGTTAACATATTAAATTTAATTTTTTTAAAATAAAAATAATTGGTACAAAGAGTAATTGTTTAAAACTAACGGTGTTAGGATTAAAATATTAAAAAAATACTTTATAAAATTAAAGAATTAAACTGAAAATTTATGTAAAGTTAAAGGATTAAAAATGCAGTTTAACCTTTCTCAACTATTTTTTAATGGTATTAAGGTGTCATTAATTGGTGTTTTATTGCCTCATGAAATCTCTCCTATAAAAGACAAGCAGACCACATATATAGTTGGACAAACCGTCCTGAGCTTTCAGGCACTCTGCTATCCTCCCCACCTTGTGCTTCTCGTAAGTTATTATGTGATTTCCTCTACCCTACAACCCTTCTTTCTTGAAGAAGGGTTCGTTAAAACTTGAGGCGCTGCCGCTGTTAATTGTGTACTGTAGCATAATAGCCTTTAAAGATGGTGCCTTGGGTATGACTTGAACTATATTCTTTAACGGATTTTCCTGCACTCTTAAGAGCTATTTTAAGTATGTTGCTATCGAGAGATTTCTCACGAGTTTTTCTTGACTCACACTCATCATATATTTCAAAGGGATTGCATGAGCGTTCTGGTAATTGGGCACAACCATCCAACGTGGTGATTCAGATTGGTGGTGGATGTGAATATTTGTCATTATTGTACACCAATGAGATAATGGACTTGTCATGATAATACTCCCTCTTGTTCTAATTACAAGACAAATTAAAGTTAATTAATTTCATAGTTATTAAAGAAACATAGCTAATATTTTTAATCGTAAAAAGTTTTTTTCTCATAAAAACTAATGACTTCAATAAAGTGAATTTAACAAAGTTTGCTAATAACATGGTGCAATTAAGGAGGGGTAATGTTGAAAAAAAATTAACTACCATGTCTTTATTCTATGTGAAGGACCAAGTAAGACTTTACTCCCTCTATTTTCAACTACAGAAAAAAATAACCAATTCACACAATTTAAAAAAAATTGTTTAAGTATAATAATTATAACTGAAATTAAAAAATTAAACTAATTATCTTGGAAATTAATGAAACAAATTTGTTTAGTAGCAATAAACATTGACTTTGTGAGAGATAATTTGGGACAAATGTAATAAATGATTTTGAAATCTATAGGTTTGCTTATGAATAAAATAAAGAAATACATGATAGTTTCTTTTATATTCAAAAGAGGAGTAGTAAAACTTTACACTATATCTAAATTTAGATGTGAGTGATCAATTTAACATTAAATTAAATTGACTTCAACTTAGAGAAAATGTTAGCTTGTGGAATAAATAAATAAAAAATGATTGGAATATTAAAACAGGCATAGCAATACATTTAGGTAGCATTTGGATGGTGGATTTAGGTTTAAAATCTCATATTTTAAATTTCACATTTCAAATTCATGTATTTAAAATTATTTGTTTGGGTAGTTTAAAAAATTTTAAATGGAGAATAGAGATGAGCTGAAATTTGAAATGAAAATAGAATATTAAGAGTGGTGAATTTACCTCTATTTTTCAATTGATGAGAGATAATAATTAAAAATGAGAAACCATATGAGAGTCACATAAATGTCAATAGTGAAAATGCGAAGACATTAAAAGAGTTGAAGTTACTAGAATTTCAAATGATTAGAGAATAAAAATAATTTTAAATTATAAAGGAGTTATAATTAGATGGATTTATATTTAATTAAAATCCATAAATTATTATATATTCATATGAGAGATTTGATTCAAATCCAAATTCAAGTTTAAATTTTTATTAATCCACCTCAAGTGGCAACAGAAAGTAAATTTATAGCCTTATTGACATCAACTCAATTATCGGGGGATAGGTTACGTTGTTAGTGAGATGAATAAATAAAAAGTGGTTGGAATTTTAAAGTACATAGCAATATATTGGAATGAATAAAATAAATAAACAAACAATTTTATCAAAAAAAAAAAAAACAATCCACCTCAAGTGGCAGCACAAACAAATTTGTAGCATTATTGACTTCAATTCAATTATCGGAGATAGGTTAGGTTAATCAGCGCGTGAAATATAATAATAAAACAATAATGGTTGAAATTTTGGAATAATACACCTCAAGTGGCATCGTCATAGATAATCTAGTTTGTGTCCAAAACAATAAACAAATTGCAACAATCTGATTGGAGAAAGCACAAAGAAGCTGAAATAATCCACCTCAATATGTATTAAGTATTAACCGACGATCAACACTCCAAATTCTTAATTCAAGTTTTCAACAACATGACGAAGATTTCTATTTTACATATAAGTTGGAAAGCGAAAGTTGCAATTTTCAATTGGTAACTTGTATTATTTACAATAAAGAATGAAAAAGCAAAGAAAGGATGAAGGCTGTGATTGTTTTGTTGCATTAATCAAATCAAATCTAATCTAATTGACTCCAAGTAGCGTGTAGACTAATGCATAATTTCAAAACAAATAAATTGACTTAGTAATTAACCAAATAATCCTTATCCACCACAAAGTGGCAATATAATATATGTAATTATTACCTTATAGAATTTCATGTCATCTAAGCATATTCTATGAGATTTTAATATATTTTGACACAATTATACATATTTTGAATACTCAAATTAAGAAAATGTGAATCTTGTTTGGGTTTGTACACTTAAGATTA